TCAGGTCTCCCTACATTAGTGGAATGGCAGAGGTGGTAGTGAAGAAAGCAGGCCCAGGAGTTAGATTTCAAAGGCCATCTCTACCACTCACAAGGTACGAGACTTTCTATGTTAAGTACTCCGTGCCTCCATTTTCTTATTTATAAAATAAGGATAATGCTAATAACAATACCTATCATATTGGTTGTGTTCTCACATGTAAATGAGATAGGTATTGTATCAGTCAGCTTCAGCTGTATAACAAACCACCCCAATCCTGGTGGCTTAAATCAATTAGCATTTATCTGTCATGAGGCATCCTTGGGCTCTGTATGGACTGTTGCACATAGTAGCCTCCTGAGGGGATAGGTCTGGCATTGTGAACTCCCTGTAGCACCCCCTCAGGGACTGATCACCTGATGCAGGTGAACTTCCCCCTCAAGCTCTGTCTGAGATCCCACACAGCACCTGAGATGGGTGTGACCTGCCAAGATGTTAATCAATCTGCTGACCACAAGATATCACAAAGCAAGACTCTGCCCTTGAAACCTTACCCTTACCTTTGATGTACTCCCTTAAATAAACCACCAGAGCCATTTTTGGTTTTGTCTAGTTCAAGAACCCATGTGGACTAGATCTATCAGGGGCTTCATTTTTGTAAATATATTTCTGAGTGTGTTTTATTATTTGTTAATTATTTGAAATATTAAGATTAGAGTGGCTATTTAGGGTTGGATTAGGGAATTAGGGATTAGGGTTGGATTAGGGAATTAGGGATTAGGGTTGGATTCCACTAGGCAGAAGAACCCTTCATCTTCCCCTTGAAATTTATCATTGCTTATAAATCCGCAGGTCTACTGGGCAGTTCTGTTGGTCTCAGATGAGCTCACTCATGCACTAATGGTCAATTGCAGGTGCAGGAGGTGACTCTGCTGAGCCCTTGAAGTGTTTGACTGAGGGACAGCAAGCAAGAGGCTGCCATAGGATGCTCTCAGCCTGGACAACTGGACTTTCCTCATGGGAACAGGCCAGCCTGGGCTTCTTAAAATGGGGTTCAAGAGAATGAGTGGAAATGGGAGAGGGCTCTCCAAGAGACTTATATATGGCATACCTTCACCAACCCTGCATTCCATTTGTCAGAACAAGTCACGGGGCCTGCAGGGGTTTAGGAAAAGAGGCTCCATCTTTCCGTAAGAGGAGCTGCAAAGTCACCCAGCTAAGGCTGTGGATATTGAGCAGGGTATTGAGCTACTTCTGTAGCCAAAATGCCATTGAAGGTGCCTCATACAAAAGGATGACCGGGCAGCACATCCAGAACCCAGAGACTACCTGGGGGTTTGGATCTAGGCAGTGGTCAGTGCCAACCCAACCCTGCCCAGGACAGGATGGATGTTTAAAACATGGTATCAACCACATGTTCCAGTTTCTGTATCTGAGGTTTTGACGCCTTGGTCCTTTCTGACTAGAGAGGGACTGTTCCTCCCAGAATTATGAGATTCCTAGAGACAGAAAATGAGTGAGCCTTTCATATGCAAATGAACCAGTCAATCCAGAGAGTCTACTCCTCCTCCATCCAGCCTTCCCAGGCTCTTGCACTGCAGGATGCTCTTTGTTCTGCTCTGATCTTTGCAAGACTAGGAACAGACAACGAGGGGCAGCCCCATCACCCCCACCCTGCTCAAGCTCTTCTAACTAGCCAATCCTAAACCCGCTTGGCCTGCTTACCCTGCCTCACCATTCTCACCGTCCCTCCCCACCTCCCACCTCCTGCCATTTACCTGCAGGTGGCCCTGCCTGGCATGGCATGGCCCCCTCTTCTCGGGAACCCTAATAAACTGCCTTTTCAGTGACAATCGTCTGCTGGTTTGCTGGTCTGCTCACTTCACAACACCTGATTGAATTAACAAATGGTGTTTGCCTCACATGCTGAACAGGGCTGGCTGAGTCTTCAGATGGGCAGGCACCTGAGTGGACTTCAGGTGTGGGCAACTAAAGAGGCTGCCATTGATGATAAATTAGGGGCTGAGCAGAGGCGGCTAACAGGATCGCTATGGGAAACAAGCAGGAGTTTGATCCACACAGTCAAGGATAACAGGAGAATGACTGATAGAAGTTAAGAGTAGCTACCAGTTGGAATAAAAGTTATCAAAAGTTAGGAATGAAGAACCCAGATCAGGTGTAGAGCATCCGGAACAAGTAATGAGGATTGTGTTGTGAGGCAGCTTAGCTTATCCTGGCTAGTTGCTTCTCATCTGGGATTTCTTAAATATAGCTACTAGCAAATTCTACCTGAAGGCTCTTATAGATATCTGGTAAACACAGAGAGAGGCAAAAACTAGGAGGAGGGGTTGGCAGGTGAGTGAAGTTGTGAGCAGATGGGGTTTAGCGCTTTAGTTGAATTCAAGATGTTCCAGAGGGAAGAACAGATACAGATGATCAGCCTTGGACCTGAGGGTTCAGCGCAGAGCACTTGCCTAGCATGCCCAAGGCCCCGTGTTCAATCCCAGCACCTGGGGGAAAAGAATGCTAAGAGGACATAATTTGGCTGGTTTTGTTTTGAGCATTTTTATTGTGTTTTGAGTGGGTTTTGCATGCTGGTCCACTAAGACACTGATGCCACCCCAGGCACAAGATGCTATGACTGTCACTTCCACCACAGTAGTGCTGGGTCCCCAAAACTGAGCGGAAATACTTTCCAGAAGTAAACACTATTAATATTTTTCCTATTCAACTATTCTTTTGTATATCTGATGTCATATTGAGGATGAAACTTTTTATTCTGGTTTTCTTTACCCCATTTACAAATATTGTAAGAATATTTAGAAAATCTTCCACCCACTTTTATTTTTGTTACTGGGGATGCTTTACCACTGAGTCACATCCCCAGCCCCTACTCACGCCCCTCCCCCGACCGGACTCCCTTTTATTTTCTTTTGAAACAGTTACTAAGTTCCTTAGGGCCTTGCTGAGTTGCTGAGAATGGTCTTGAACTTGTGATGCTCGTATCTCAGCCTCCCAAGTGGCCCTCATCCCTTTTAAAAGTAAAAGTGGGGGAAATGTGCATAATGACATTGGGATGCTAAAGTAATGGAATGCGGAATGCACCTGTCACTCTAAATCCTCCTCATGTGTTGGAAAAGCCTGTCTCACGTGAGGCAGAGCCCATTTCTTGCTATGGAAGCAACAAATCCAGACACTCACACTCCCATCGCCCCCTGTAGCTGGAGCATCAACAGGTGACACAGATTCTTCCCCCTGAGGCTGCATTCTATAACATCTCACTTTGAATCAGAAGCTGGTAACCCAGAGAAACAAAGTTTGCACAGAATCCATCTGGATGGTGGGTGGCATCAGTTCAGTTTTGGGGACCCAGCATTACTGTGGTGGTGGTGACAGCCACAACATCTTGTGCGGGGGGGGGGAGCAGTGATGTGTTCATGGACCAGTTCTCAAGCACAATTAAGGGTGTGGTTCCACGTGGCACAGTCTCCAAACTTTCTTCTGCAGTTCCTTTAGAGCCTGTGAACTATCCCGTACTCTTAGTAAATTCCTTTACTTCCCTGTTTTGTTTTAGAAATAGGGTCTCACAATGTTGCCCAGGCTGGTTTTGAAATCTTGGACTCAAGTGATCCTCACACCTCAATCTCTGGTGTATCTGGGACTACAGTCATGCACTAATGGGCCTGGCCAAATTCCTTTACTTTCTTAAACTAGAATCACTTTCTATAAGTTGCAATTAAATACTGATTGATAAAGTGCCTAACTAGGACATTGTTCGATCTCATTTTCTAATGCAACTGATAGTAAAGTTTTAAATATACACACTTACATAATTGGGAGATGCTTTAGTCAATTTTACTATAATAAAATACCTGAATATGGGATGCTTTATAAAGAGAAACGTATTTAGCTCACAGTTCTGGAGGTTCAAGGGCATGGTGCCAGTATCAGCTTGGATATGGTGGACCTCATCGCTGATGGCAGCATGGCAGCAGGAGCACATTCCAAAGGAAGAGATTATGTTGGCCAGAAAAAAAGCCAAAGAGCAACTGGAGTCCCACATCCAAAGGCATGTCCCCAGCTGACCTAAAGACCTCCTGCTAGGTCCTTCCTCCTAAAGGTCACATACCACCACCTTGGGACCAAGTTTTCAACACACAAACTCTAGAGGGACAAACTCAAACCATAGCTAAGTTTAGTCCTATTTGTTACCTTATTATTATTTTGGTACTGGGGATTGAACCCAGGGGTACTTAACTACTGAGCTATGTCTTCACCCCTTTTTATATTTTATTTAGAGACAAGGTCTTGCTAAATTGCTGAGGCTGACTTTGAACTCGTGGTCCTCCTGCTTTAGCCTCCTGAGCCTCTGGGATTACAGGCCTATGCCACCATGCCCAGCATCTGTTACCTTATTTTGGATGCTCTGTTTATTTCTGTCATTGCTACTAAGACTGTATGCATGAAAAAGACTAAAAATAAAAAAAAAAAACCTAATAAATTAAGTGCCTTTATACATTGGTATTATGGGTGATTATTAGTTCCTTCTTTTTAAAAAAAAGTTTGGGGTATACAGAACCCAGGGCCACTCTACCACTCCCTGCATCTCCAGCCACTGCCCCCCCCCCCTTTTTTTAGACTGAGTCTCACTAAGTTACCCAGGTTGGCCTCAAACTTGTGATCCTCTTGCCTCAGCCTCCCAAGTTGCTGAGATGACAGAAGTGTGCTGCCATGCCTGGCTTATTAGTTCCTTCTTAATACATTCCTACATTCTCTTAAAACTTCCACAATGAAATATTATTGTATTTTTTAAAAAAACTCTTTTGGAAGAATATTCTCTACTAATGACAGAGAGAGTAATTTAAAAATATAAGAATAACTTTTTTTAAATATTTCAAATCAATTTACAAAAACGCTAAACAGTAGATAGAATAAAATTTATGCTTTAACCATATAAATAAAGAAAAAGAAAATTACTACATACACGTATAAAATATAAATGAAATTTTATTTATGAATGTATAAATGTATACCAAAGGGGGAAGTACATTAAAAGAACATGTACCATAATCAGGTAGAGTTTATTTCAGGAATTTAAGGGTGTTTTAAAATTATGAAAACTTTTTATATAGTCAATCATATTAGGGATTTAAGTGATAAAAATAGGATTATATCAAAAGATACCAATTCATCTTATCAAGCTTTTAGCTTCAAACAAAGAAAAGATGTTATTCCTCTTATTCTAATAAAGAACATTTATTTAAAACCAACAATCAACTTTATATTTAATGAAGAAATACCAAAGAAACTTTTTAATCACATTTTGTTTGTACTTAACACAAAACAATAAAAATACATAAAAAAGAAATCATTTTGCAGCTATAGTTTTATTTTTAGAAAAAAAAAAGCATTCTACCACTACTGGAACAAAAACAATTCAGCAAAAGATAAATATTTTTAAAATTAACAGCCTTCTAAAGATAAAGATTTCCATGCTGAGTAGGAACACAGATATAAAATACTCAAGAAAGAAGTAACATAATAAGACCTAAACAAAAATAAGAACAAAGTATAACAAAACAACATCAAGAAACACATTAATAACGAACAGACTAAATACCTGATGGAAAGAATTAGCATCATAAACAAAAGTGTTACAGAGTAATAAAAAATTCAAATTGAAGAACTGAAAGAGATGTTTACTTTACTTATCCCCCCATGGGGGGGGGCTGTATTTTTGAATATTAAAGAATGTAAGTGGGGGTAAGAAGACCAAAGAAGATATATACTGATTCAAACAGGTTCCAATACAGCATTTAATTCATTGTATGATTAAAAAAAAAATAGGTCTTAACTTCCAGATGGAAGTTAGAATTAACAAGAACGATTCTCCTCAAAGCACCATGATGTAATGTGGTAAGTACTAGGGTAGCGCTACAGGAAGCGGGCACAGAGGCTCACACCTGTGATCCCAGCTACTCCAGAGGCTGAGGCAGGAGGATGACCAGTTCAAAGCTGGCTGGGGCAATTAGAGAGACTCGGCTTCAAAATGAAAAATAAAAAGGGCTGGGAATGCAGCTCAGTGGCAGAGCACCCCTGTGTTCAATCCCCAGTACTGCAAAAAAGAAAAAAAATTCTACAAGTGCTTCCTCTCTAGGGACCAAGAAACGCTAACATTTTGAAGATTGTAACTGCCAGGTTCTGAAGAAGGCAGAGGGAAGAAGGACCGGCACTTGTAAAAGAGGGAACATCTTTTACAAATACAGAGTCACAAGACAACCAAAGAGTACATTTCAAAAACTCCAAGTGGGTCAGCAGAAACAGTCTTAATCTATATTTCTAAAACTCAATTAGAAGCCAATATTTAAAAATCAGAAAATTTCTCACAAAAAAAATCTGGATTTCTGGCTTCTTTAGAAAAGCAGACTATATGACAAACTGGGTCCATATTCCCAGATGGAAATCAGGGCCGCACACATTGCAGTTGGGAGAGTTTGCCACAGGATTTCCTCTGTGCCCCCTTTCCCTGCAGAGAGTCCATTCCATCTATTTAACTCACCTTCCTGGTCCCTGTAGGGGAGGAGTTTATGACTTGCCTTACGTGGAAACGAAGCAACAGGATTAGATTTGCTTTTAAAAGATCAACCCGGCAGCTAGGTGCAGAAGAGAGGGACAGTGGGGAGATGGATGGAATCCACAAAGGTCTATTATATTAAAAATTAAAATAAAGCTACCAGAACTGAAGTGGGGGAAAGGAGCCCACCTAGCACCTTCTACTAAAAACTCACACCACATATAACTTGAAAAACACCGAGTTATGTCCCTGTGGGATACATAAGATGGGTGATAAAGGTGTGAACCAAGGAATTGTGTAGGGATGGGAAGAAAGGGGCAGAGAAGGATGAGCATTTGAGAGGCTCCTTAGGAGCCAAACATCGCCAGCCCTGGGTGACCAATGTGACACAGGGAATAAAGACAAAGAAGAGCACAGGGCTTAAGTCCAATGACTGAATGGGGATAAGCATCCAAAAATAAGGAAATAAAAGGAGAAACAACCCTGGAGGAAAATGAATTCATTCAAGTTGGAGTATGTTGAGGGTGGGGAGCCTGGAGACGTGAGGCTTCACCTCATGAACCCCAATAAATTAACAAAGAAAACCTATCTCCAGCTCTGACATGAGAAGTCTAAGAGCTGGACCATCAGACGGAAATGAAAGAAAGATTAAGAGGTGTGATTATGAAGGTGAGCTTAAGGATGTTTTCTTCCATTATGGAAGGTTTATAATAAGTAACCAATTGAAACCTGTTTTCACCAGGAGTTTGGCAATCACCAAGAGAGACTAGTGGCAGCTACCCACCTCGAGCCTGTCCTTTGTGTAATATGTAACTCATCAGTGACAAGAATAGTCTGAGGAAATAATGATCTTTGCTTTTGAAATTTGCAGAACTGAAAAACATCTCATGACCAGGCAATGAGGATCAGATGTGCCTCATTTGGCCCACCCACTTGATGAGACAGGACCCACCAATCAGGGAACACCCATCATCCGTCTACATAAGCCACCCCCAAGTCAGCTTCCCAGGAAGACAAGCTTTGGGACAGAGTCCCTATCTTCTCATCTAGCCAGCTTTTTCAATAGTCAGACTCTTTGCCTCCATATCTTGTCTCTTGACTTTACTGGTATGTAGTGGGATAAGCAGTTGGACTTGGTCCAGTAAATTACGTAAGATAATTTTATAGAATGATTATCAGCAGAACCAAAATTGAAATGGAAGATGACAGAACTGAATAAAACATTGCAACAAAGATTACAGAGGGCCTTTACTTATGTAAGATCACAATTATAAGATATATAAAAAGAACACAATGATGTGAAAGTCCACCAAGTCTCTCAGGATAAAGGATACGCCTTTAGACTCTCATTCTCTGCTTTAAGGGTGTAAGATGGCTTAGACAAAAGTATACACGGTAAAAGGATAAACCGGAGAGAGTTATAATGATTAAATGTAAAATAATGATTTTACATTTAATCATTATGTAAAATAAATGCAAAATAAAATTTAAGTTAGCACCAGGGCTGGGGTGTAGCTCAGTGGTAAAGTGCTTGCTTAGCATGCACAAGGCCCTGGGCTAGATTCCCAGCACCACCAAAAAAAAATAGCACCAGGAAAAATCAGAACTAGGAAAAAATAATAAAGAAAGAAAAAACAAAATATGCAGAACATCAGGCTTTTCAGAAATACTGTTGTTGACAACAACAGTAAAAAAACTATCATAAGTTATATGAATCATATTGCCCTTTTAGGAGAAAACAAAGAAATTTATCACTTGAAAACATTTTTGCATTCCCCCATCTCAATAGAAGAGCATTTCAGTTTTTCTCAAAATGAAAACATAAGTTTTCTCAAAATTAAATAAATTTAGTTTTATAAAAGCTACTATATTGTCCCTTTTTCTCACACTGTTATTGCAAAAAAAATTTTTTTAAGAAAGCACTTTACACAATGACATTTGGAAATATGACTACAATACACACAGCAAAGGATTTCATACACCTGCCTCTGTGGTAGCCCTTGATAAAAAAGAACTCAACATCTACACGTATCTTGATAAAGACAGCAGGGTATACAGAGGCAGAGAGAAGAGGGAACAGGGAGGAAGAGGGAAGTCAACATGAAATGGGTGAAGCAGGTAGATTTCCCATGGTCCGTTTGCATCCACAGAAAGAAGAGTTACCAAGTAATGGATAAACTACCCATCCTTCAAGCTACAGCAGCTGGGCTTAGCAAAAGCTCAATAAAAGATAAAAAATAGACAGGCTGAGGTAGAAATCTTTGACAGGAACCCAAAGGTTACATACTCTGTGGTGCAGGCCAAGGATGGATGCACAAAACTTGGACATCCTGAACACAGTATGGATGACATTCTTTTATGAAAATCACGGAGCTCCATGTCAGCCCAGAGGTCCCAGCAATAAAAGGTCACATATACAATACACAAAACAGAACCCACACAAGGCAGTTAATACTATTCACTCACATACATTTAGAGAAATGCAAACCAAAACACATTATCATTTAGCACCTATAAGCTAAGCGAAAGTAAAGCATGGCTTTATAAATTCAATACTGTGTATATTTTATAAAAAGATAAATTCAAAATTTGTTAGAGTTGAAATATCTCAGAATAAGGGAGGTAGTTAAACTATGATATATTAATGTATCTGTGCAAAAAAAATGATTATGTGTGATCAATGTGAACAAAATGGAATGATACTTATGAAATGCCTAAGTAGAAAACTGTGCAAAGCATATGGATCTATGTAAACTGATTACATGGACAAAATCACTGGTCAGACCACAGAAGTCAGCAGAAATTCACCACTTGAAGAGCTCCATCCGCCCAGGCTGGGGAAGATGCTCAGGAACTGCAGAAGCTGCATCTTCAGGATTTGCCCTGGACTGACCCCTCTGCGCTCAAATTTTACCCTCTCTTTGCCTGCTTCATGTCCAACCTCATCCCCAGCCACCCATGCCAAATTTTATCCTCCCAGCTTTAGCTCTCACAATAAGCTGTGAGGTAGCTATTAATGACCTTTATTAAGAAATGACTAAATGAACGAATGGTTACAAACTGAAGCTCAGCAGAAGACTTGCTTTCAGGTCTTCCAAGATGAACAAGCTTCTTGCTTCACTGATGCCCTTTACGGTTTACCTAGGTAGGGCTTCCTGGCTGACTGAGCAGGGATGGGGACCAGAGGCCTGCCTTCTCCAGCCCTGGCCTCCTGTGTTCTCTGTTTTTCAAGGCCCTGTGAACACTCAGTAGCTGAGTTATCTAAAAGAAAGAAGAAAGGAATGAGCTTTCCAAAAATATTCTTTGTATTACTCTTTAAGTTTCATTTTACATTAGTAACCAGGTCTCAGACAAGACTCCTAATTCATTCCCAGGGTTTGGAGAGTTTGTGCCTTCTGAATTAAAACAGGTAATTGTTATATTAAAAATATAACAATAGCAAGCAGAAAGTCAGTATTCCATAGTGAGAAGAGTCCCAGTAAAAATGACCAGATGAGAACAATAATAGGCACTACATCAGAAACAGAGTAGAAGGTCCCTTCTATCCCTGAGAGTTCCCTAGACAGCCTGTGACACTGGTATTCCGGAGTCCCCCTTACTTTCAAATTCATAAAGTCGGCCACTAACATTCCGACATAAGAAAACTTCAGGATGTCTCAAAACTTAATTTTTGTTTTTGTTTTCACAAAAGGGCTGGGGAAGTTTCTCAGTGGTAGAGTACTCGTCTAGCATGATATTCAGTCCCCAGTACTAGAGGAAAAAGAAAGAAAGAAAGAAAGAAAACTGCACATTAAAAGCTTAGTACTGGTGGCTGGGTGTGGCTCAGTGGTAAAGCACTTGCCTCCCACATGTGAGGCACTCCCACAATCCTCAGCACCACATAAAAGTAAATAAAGAAAATAAAGACACTGCATCCATGTACAACTAAAAAATATTTAAAAATAAAATAAAAGCTTAGTACCTCTGACTTTGGCAATTAATTAATTACCTTTTCTCATCAACAATTCTAAACCCACCACTAACTGATTTTCAGCTATAAGCAAATTTAATAAAATAAATAAGCAAAACACATTACAGTTAAAAGAACATTTACACAGTAACAGGATTGAATGGCCTACAATGAAGTGTAACAATTATTACCATTTAGAGTGAGGGGAATCACATGCAATTTTTATTTCTAGTTTGTGCTCCAAGTTTTTCTATAATGTGATTAAAATTGCTAAAAAATGAAAACAAGCAGACCCTTTAAACCAATTCATAAAAGAAAGCCATCCCTATGTTATCCTCACCTTTCTCCCTCCCCATCTCCCAGCAAGTTGTTAAGACTGCTCCTGCCTCCAACTGGCCCAGGAGCTAATATTGAAGGGTTTCAGAAGACTTTTGAGTTTATAGTATTAAACTCAAAAGTCTTCTGAAACCCTTCAATATTGTCACTTGTCCACTGTCCTAAACTTTCTAACAACAAAGCTTCGATTAACATATGTAGTGGTTTGGTCCTCAGACTCACTTTCAAGTCACTGTTCTTATTTCTTTACTGTGAAGATTTTGAAACCACCTCACCATTGATGGTTCTTGTCTGCCTCTGCTAGGCCTACCTTTATTTTCAAGCATCTTGTGCAGCTCCATATGCTTGTAGGCAGAAATGATCTGAAAATTAACGACACTTGGAATACTCAGTCCTTGCTCCTGTAGCAACTTCAGGGCTGTAGCATGAATGAGCTGATGGGACCGTTTGCAGGTCTGTAGCTTGCACTCTCCCCTGACGAAGGCTTTGCACACGTGGAACTTGGTGCATTTATCCTTGAGGTTGCAGTAACCATAGAGGGGATCCCCACCTTTGTTGTACAGCAAACAGACCTGGTACAGAAAGAAGGCAATACCTGAAATATTAGATCTCACCATATCTTTATTTACTTTGCAGTACTGGGGACGGAACCCAGGAGCACTTCATCACTGAACTACATCCCTTGCCCTTTTTTAAATTTTTATTTTACTTTATTTTTTTTAGTTGTAGTTGGACATATACTTTTATTTTATTTATTTATATTTATGTGGTGCTGAGGATCGAACCCAGGGCCTCATACTTGCTAGGCAAGCACTCTATGCTGAGCCACAACTCCAGCCCCCGCAGTCCTTTTTATTTTATTTCAGGATGGGGTTTTGCTAAATTGCCCATGCTGGCCTTGAACTTGTGATCCTCCTGCCTTAGCCTGCTGAGGTGCTGGGATACAGGTATGTGCTACCACACCCAGCTATTGTATCTTTTTCAGCCAATAAACAACAGTTCCTCCTACAAAACTGGAGATTAAATGGTATCTTTTTTAAATTAATATTTTAATTGACACACAGTAATTGTACATATTACTATGCACCCTGTATTGAGGTATAGTGTGGCATTTCAATACATGTATACAATGTATATTATACTATGTATAAAGATCAGATGAGGGTAGTTGCCATGTCTGTCACTCAAACATATGTTTTTTCTTTGTACTGGAAACATTCAAATTCAATTAGATATTTTGAAATATTCAATTGATTTTTGTCAACCATTATTATCCTACAGTGCTATAGAACATTAGTAGGTTACTCTTGCACCCCTGGCCCCATCAACCATCCTCTCTCCATCTTTTCCTCCTTCACACTGTTCCTTCCCAGGTTCTGGTAACCACTATTCTATTCTCCACTTCTTTTTTTTTAATATGTATATTTTTAGTTGTTGATGGACCTTTATTTTATTCATTTATTTATAAGCGGTGCTGAGAATCAAACCCAGTGCCTCACACATGCCAGGAAAGTGCTCTATCACTGAGCCACAAACCCAGCCTCTATTCCCCACTTCTTTGAGATCACCTTTAGTTTCCACTTGTAAATAAGAACATGTAGTATTTGTCTTTCTGCATCTGACTTACTTTACTTAACATAATGTCCTCCAGTTCTAACCATGTTGCCGCAAATGACAGTTCATTCTTTTTAGGACTGAATAATATTCCTGTGTATGGGTGTGTGTATGTGTGTGTGTTCATCCATCAATGGACACCTAGGTTGTTTCCATATCTTGGCTACTGCAATCAGTGCATAGCAAACATGCCATGCAGATGGCTCTTCAACATACTAATCTCAGTGCCTCAATATATTGAGGTAGTTAGATTTTGTTTCTTCCTTGCTTGCTTGCTTGAGGAACCTCTGTACTGTTTTCCATAATGGTACATTAATCTATATTCCCCACCTACAGTGTATTCCCCTTTTTCTGCATCCTCATCAGCATTTTTTTTTGTTTATTTTTAACAATAGATATTCTAACCAGGGTGTGATATAGTGCTTTTGATTCGCAGTTCCCTGATGTAAATGGCATCTTCTGATTATCAACAGCTGTTAAGATCTTTGGTGAAGGGCTGAAGGATACCAGTGGAGCCCCGCCCAGGCCTCCCCCAGATAGTGTGCACACTGGCTCTCTTACCCCCTCTCTTACTTTGGACCCTCAACTGACCTGCTCTCCCCCAAACCCTTAGCCAATGAAGGACTTACATGGAGGTACAAAAGCCTGGCCCCTTGCCCCCAAGCTAGAACAATTCTTCAGTGCAATTTTTATCCTATGGCCCCATGAATCAAGTCAGGGCCAGACTTCCCCGTGCTTGTAGCCTTTTTTCCTCTATATCCTGCTTCCCTTCCTCCCCACTGGTTTTTCCTTAAGAGCCCTCCCTCAATAAATCACAAAACCCAAATCCCCACTTCAGGTCTACTTCCAGTGAAACCCATCTCGACAGGTTGCACTACCATATAATATGAGAGTGGGGGGGGGGAGCACTGTTAATGATTACTTTGGGACAGCTAATGTGAACTGGTCTGCTCCAGGCAAACCAAGGACGTACTCTCGGGGAGCTTTATAACGATGGATCAGGCTGTCAGCTCTGAAATGACCAATCGACTTCACCTCACACACACAAAAAGATGGCAAGATGTTATATGATCCCCCACGTGGTACAACAAGAAATACCATTATGAAAGTCTGACATTCCAAGACACCCCTCCACTCCCAGGCAAACTGGAATGTTAAGTTACCCTAATAATGCACCACCTTTAAAAATATTCTTGCTATAAAAAAAAAATCAAATCCAAATCCCATCAAACCTCCAGATCTATTAGTTTACCATATATTCAAGAAATAGAGGAGCATGTTAAGCGATACAACAGGAACACCACCAATCAAGCTAAAACATGGGTAATTTTACAGGACACACATAACCTGCTTTAAAACAAGAGCATCTCTATCTATAATTGTGGTGCCAATTTTCTAAAATGAACTTATAATTTTAATGCAATTTTGACCCTCCTAGAGTCAAAGAGTTCCTAGAAAATAGTTTCAGGGGGCTGAGGATGTGGCTCAAGTGGTAGCGTGCTCACCTGGCATGCGCAGGGCGCTGGGTTTGATCCTCAGCATCACATAAAAAAATAAATAAATAAAGAGGTTGTGTCCACCGAAAACTAAAAAATAAATAAATATTAAAAAATTCTCTCTCGGGGCTGGGGATGTGGCTCAAGCGGTAGCGCGCTCGCCTGTCATGCGTGCGGCCCGGGTTCGATCCTCAGCACCACATACAAACAAAGATGTTGTGTCCACCGAGAACTAAAAAAATAAATAAATATAAAAAGAAAATAAAATATCAGTTGTTTTAAAAAAAAAAAAATTCTCTCTCTCTCTCTCTCTCTCAAAAAGAAAATATTTTTAGGAATTTAACTGATTCTAAACTTTATCAGAAAAAGGAAACAAGAATTGATTAAACAGGGGCTGGGTATAGGGCTCAAGTAGTAGCACGCTCGCCTGGCATGCATGAGGCACTGGGTTCAATCCTCAGCACCACATAAAAATAAAATAAAGATATTGTTAAAAAAAAAGAATTGATTAAACAAAAAAAAAACTGAGAAAGAAGAGTAATGGGCATAGAGACTTGGATTATCATATATTAAAATATATTATAAACTATTTTAAATAGTAGGATGCTGGTTCAACAATGTAGGTCAAGGAAAATAGACCCCAGACCTAGTCCAAATATTAGAACAATCTGTTCCTTAAAGATGTGTTGGAACTTGGGGGGAGAATGGGGAGATGCAGGTGAAGGGGACTGAAGTTTCAGTTAGGATGAATCCATTCTGGAGCCCTAAAGTACAGCATGGTGTCTAGAGTTCAAAATAACATACTCTATGCTTATAAACTACTAAGAGAGTAGATCTTAAAAATCCACATCACTGGGCTGGAATTGTGGCTCAGTGGTAGAGCACTTGTCTGGCGTGTGTGAGGCCCTGGGTTCAATCCTCAGCACCACATATAAATAAATAAATAAATAAAAATTTTAAAAACCTGCTTTAAAAAAAAATCCTCATCACTCAAAATTTTAAAAAAGATGACCTTATGAAGTGATGATATGTTAATTAGTAGGATTATGTTAATTATGTCACATGTAAGTATATATGTCAAAATATCTCATTGTATGCCATAAATACATAATTTTTATTTTTCAATTATGCTTAAGATGCAAAAAAAAATGATAGAAATAAATGATAAAGCTATGTAAGCCTGATGTTTTCTTATAGAAAACTTCAGGGTTTGTTTAGTGCTTTTATTTTTTAAAAAAACATAAGGCTCTTTTGGCTTTCCATTTCTTCTTGAATCAATTTTGATTTGCCCTATGCTCTAGAAATATGTTCATTTCATCTAAATTTTCAACTGAGCTAGCATGATATTTCACATACTATCCCCCATTGTCTTTTTTCTTGTGTGCTATGTCTGGATCCTGCACTGTATCTTTAGGAGAGCAGTGAAAGGAATCAACCAGGCACCTTCATACAAAAGACAGGAAGCATCATTCTCACTTCATCCTCTGTGCTTGTCTGTGGCCCCTGATGTCTAAGTGGCCATGTTTTGTGCCACACACACCTCTAGGTCCAACTTTGGGCCAAGGGCAGCCTCCCACTATAAGGGCTAAAAGAACACTGAAGCAGTCTAATAGGACAAGATGAGGCTGGGCCCAGGTCATCTAGGAAGAGCCACTGTTATGATTTCCATCTGAGGTATCCCCCAGAAGCCCATGTGTGAGACAATGCAAGAAAGTTTAGAGGTGAAATGAATGGGTTGTGAGAGTCTAAACCTAATCAGATTATTAATCCCCTGCTAGGGATTAACTGGATGCCAACTGTAGGCAGGAAGGATGTGGCTGGAGGAGGTGGGTCCTTGGTGGCATGCCTGTGGGGTCTATATTTTGTCCTTGTTGGGCAAAGTGAAGCTCTCTGTTTCCTGATCTGCATGTCCTAAGCCACTTTCCTCCATACAGTCTTCTGCCATGATATTCTGCCTGACCTCAAGCCCCCAAGGAATGGAGATGGCCTTCTATGGATTGAGACCTCTGAACTGTGAGCCCCAAAATAAACTTCTACATTTGTTCTTGTCAGGTCTTTTAGTAACACCAACAAAAAAGCTGTCTAACATAGCCATAAAGAAAAAGATTCAATGAGTTTGACAACATAAAACCATTCAACTTCTCTCTCTTCCCCCTCTCCTCTTCTGCTCTCTCCTCTCTCCTCTCTCTCCCTCTCACCCTCTCTTCCCCCTCTCCTCTCTTTTCGCTCTCTCTCTCTCTCTCTCTCAACCCCCTTCTCTTCTGCGACTGGCCGCTATGGTCCTGCTAATAAAATCTTGGACAGGTAAACGGTTGTTTTTTTTTTTTTTTTAAAGAAAAAAACCCTTTAAACTTCTGCAAATCAAGAAATACTGTGAAATTAAAGGGCAAACAGCAGCTATACTGCTCCTTCCCTCTAACAGAGGAAGGTCTGGCCCCAGCCTCACAGTTGATGCCACCTTTCAACCCTTCCTGTCAATAATCTGTGCCAGCTTCTGGGTGAATCTACTTTCTGTAACATAGAGGGATGCACCTGGCTCACAGAACACCTGCTGCAAAGGTTTCAGGCATTTAAAATGAGATGGATGCCAAGAAGAAGCCTTGCTTCCTAAGATCCCCTCCAGGACTGCCTGGGGTACAGATTCGAACGTACTCGAGGGAGGCCTCTGCCATCTTCTGCACCAAAAGCTCCAGCTCACATGTTCTACCTCACAACTTTCTTTCCCTTTGGACCCTGTCATACCCTAGGATCATCCTGGGCTGGGGATATAGCTCCGTTGGTGGAGTGCTTGTCTTGCATGCACAAGGCCCTGGGTTCAATCCCCACCACTACCACCACCAAAAAAAAAAAAAACAGGGCCATCCTGAATCCTGAATGGTGGTCTCCTCACTCCCCCACCTTCTTCCTACCCTTTTCTGGAACCATGAGAAAGTCTATGATAGAATCATGGTGCCAGATTACAAAATTCTACTTTTAATTGGTGGTCTCATAATATTTTCTCTTGGGATTCTCACTATTTTGTTTAAAACAATTCTTTATGTATGGCTAAACAGAAACACTCATGCGAATTTTGCCATTATAGGAATTAGAAAGGGTCCTTTTAAGAATCCGAAACTAAATCATACTACTTCAGAGCTATTGTGCTATAAAGCCAGAGAAGGCAATGAACTCCATGGCCACTCACCTCTGGCAAAAGGCAGGGGTCGTTCTGCAAAAGCAGGATCCGAAGCTGGGCTTCATTGAGGCCAAAAATCCCGTGGTTTTTCAGGACTTGGATGTTGACAGGTGTGTGGATATCATGAGAAAGGGAACAGGTAGACCTGGGGAAACACAAAGCTCTGGGTCAGAAGCCCAGGTGAGGAAGGGCCAGTGGGTGGGATTCTTGCCTTAGACAACTTTCAACTTACAGTGGGTCCAACAATTTCCCAGGCACTGATTGATAATAAGAAAGTTGGGTTGAAACTACTCCCTTCCCAGGGTCATTTTCATATTCATTAAGGATGCTTTCGAGCCAAGTGTACCTCCCCCAGGCACCTCCCTGGACAGGCTGCACATCTGTTCTGCCCATGACGGCACTTGGCCTTCTCCACCCAGAGAGGGACCCATCTCCCACTGTCTACTAACGTTAGAAAGAAAGCGCCTCCACATAAACTGGGGGTGAGGGTGCGGCGAGAATGCACCACGAAAGAGCTTCAAACTCCCGCTGAGGGGGTGCGGAGGGTAGATCCTCACTCACAGCCTCCAGCCCTGTTTCCGGGGGAGGGGGTGGGTCAGGCCAGACCAGGATTTTAAAGCCCGAGAGCACAGACCCGCTCCTGTAAAACTGTAGTTAGTGGGGAGTGGGCGCAAAAGGCCCATGGATCTCCCGGGATCCTCAGATGTCCCCCAGAGGTCACTTTGAGGGGGGTCAACTCAAAAGTTCCTGCACGATTCAACCCAGGCGCGTAGCGAAGGCACCTTGGCGGGACAGCAGTTCGGGGGGCGCGGGCGACTGAGGACTCTGGGCCGAGGGACCTCCCGCTTCCCTCCCCCCCGCCCCGCATCCAGCCGCGAGCGCAGACGAGGCCTCCCCGGAGGTCGCCATCCCACCCCGCGCCCGACGAGGACCCGCCTCCGCCATTCTCTGGGCTCCGGCTTCCCGCTGGACCTACAGACCGCGGCCCTCGCCCTCCTCCCGGCCCCCGGCGCTTTCCCCTCACCAGCAGTCGCGGTGGGGGCACTTGCCCAGCATGTGCCGTCGGCAGAAGTGCAGCTGGTCGCAGGCCTGGCACTCCCCGCGCTGGTAGCGGGCGCAGAGGCGCGCGGAGGACACGGCCACCACCCTCCAGGCCGAGGCGCCGCCGCCGCTGCCCGCGCCGCCCGCGCCGCCCGCGCCCGCCGCCGCCTCCGCCTCGGCGTCCCAGAGGCCCTCCTTCATCTCCACCTCCTGCAGCAGGAAGCGCTCGGGCCCGGCCCGCTGCAGCACGTCCCGGAGCTTCGCCTCCGACAGCTCCACGTGGCCGCGCAGGTCCTGCAGGAACATGCGGCCGCCGTTGGCGCACAGCACCTTGGTGAGGAAGGAGCACACCGTGAGGTCCGCCATGGCCGGCGGCCGCGTCCCCGTGCGCGCCGCGCGAAACCCGAGGAGGCCAGACTCCTCCCAGTCACGTCCACGGTTTCCAGCCACATTCCAGGGACCGGCCTAGGAAAGGAAGGGCGAGGGCAGCCCCGGAGGGTGAGAGGACGGCCCAAGTTCGCGATGCCCGCTGGGCACGGATTCAAGAAGGGATGGACGCTTATTGAATGTCTGTCCTGTCCTGGCACCATTCAGGGCGAGTCCTTGTCACAAAACAGACAGGCAAACCAGAGCTTGGCGAGTAAAACTAGTAGGCTGCAAAGCAGATAAAATAGGTAAGGCGGTAGGAGGTGAATGGCTGGGCTGCTTTAGGTCCTTGGTAGGGGGCCGTCGCCAAGGAGGTGGCTGCAAGCCACATGTGGCTGCAGAGCACTTGAAATGTGGCCAGTCCCAGCTGAGATGCGATGTGTGAAATACACACACTGGATTTGGAAGATTTCAGATAAACAAAGAATGTGAAATAGCTCAAGATCTTTATATGAATCACAGGTTAAAAGGATACTACTTTGGATATGTTCCATTAAATAAAATGTAAAGACAGTTGCATCCGTTTCATTTACTTTCCTAATGTAGCTATGAGGAAACTTTACACATGTGGAATGCTTCTTCTCTTGAAAAGCACTGATCTAGATCTGTACATTTATGATGCATCGAAACTTTTTGCCCAATATGCCATTTAACAAACATTTATGGAGCTGACTCCTAATGCAGAGACAGAGTACAAAGATGAATAAAGGTAAGGGGGACTCAGCCAGTCTACTTGCTGTCTTGGTGGTGCTTGTGAGTATGTAATGAGTTGATGTCATGTAATGTAAAAAAAAAAAAAAAACTAGAGGAAGGTAGCTGGCCTCAAGCTGTAAGACTTTTCTCTGCCCTGTTCAGAAATTTGAACTTAGATCCTGAAGTCTTTGGAAAACCATTGAAAGAAGCATTTTTCAGCTGGGGAATGAAGTGGTCTCTCCGCCAGTACGTTTGCATAGATGTGTCCTTTGTGTCATTCAGTTCTGGTTTTCAATGTGTTTTTTTCAAAAATGCCTTTCCTGACCTCCCAATCTAAAATGGGTCTCCAGTCTACATGAAACATATTTTTCTTCTTTCTTGTTTATTTCTGTATTTGCAAGATTCATGCTTTTGAAAGCAGGAATCCTCTTTGTCTTGTTCATTATTATATCCCTACCACCTAAAAGACTGTCTGGCATATTGTAAGACAGGTATTTATTTATCTATTTTTTTCATAATTTTTTTAGTTGTAGATGGACACAATACCTTTATTTATTTATATGTGGAAATGAGGATCGAACCCAGTGCCCCATGTGTGCAAGGCAAGCACTTTACCACTGAGCCACAACCCCAGCCCCTATTTATCTAATTTTTATGCATGCTTGCATGCTGGGGTCAGACCTATCACCTTGTGTGTGCTAAGCCAGCGTTTTATCACTGAGTACACCCCCAGCCTAGGACAGATGTTTTAGAAAGACCTCTGGAAACAATAAGAAGACCAGATTTTAAGAAAGCAAGACAAGGTAGGGAATAACAAGAGAAAAGGCTTTAAGAGACCCTCAACCCAGAGCTGGGGTTGTGGCTCAGTGGCAGTGCACTTACCTAGAACCCGTGAGGCATGAGGCACTGGGTTCGATACTCAGCAACACATAAAAATCAATGAATAAATAAAATAAAGGTATTGTGTTCATCTACAACTAAAAAATATATACATTTTTTTAAAAAGGGAGACTGTCAACCCAGTTTTTATTGAGTTTTGTTTGCAGTGGACAATCCAAGGTAAGGTGCTCAATACACACACACACACACACACACACCTTAAGGGAGATGAGAAGGGAAGGGTATAGATTTGAATGACATCGTAGTGACTGAAGCTGTGAGAACTATGGGAGGGTAAGATCTTGGGGAATACCACCATTAAAGAAGCAGGTAGAGGAAGAGAAAAATTAGAAGAAAAATGGTAGTAGCTTGTGTCCTTTTGGCACTCAGCGTTTTTACCAGGATTCTCTGCCTAAGGTCTTTTTCCAGCAAAAGGAATGAGCTTGCTGGCAATAGACAGGCTGGAATCCCCAAGGAGTTCAACAGGGATATTAGGGAATTGGTGGTGTGGGGACCCACCTGGGCCCAGAGTATATGTGAGGACTGTTTTAAACTAAAGATATTTGAGATTCAACAGATACAGAAAGAAATCTTGTTGGAGCTCTCCTTATCTCACTGAAAGCAGAAGCTTCTGAAAGTGAGCCTATATGGATCCCCTCTCCGTGGGACTTTTATGGCAGGAAAGAAAGAAAGGGAGAAAACCCTCCCACACTTACATAAACAAGCATTATCCCAAACTGTTCTCCATTCTGTTACCCTGGAAACCCACTGTTCTTCCCATAGAAGCCATTTTGCCCTCCTTTATCCTCTTTAACTGGTGTTTTTGTTTTTGTTTTGTTCTGGTACAGGGGTCTGAACCCAGGAGTGCTGTTTATATTTTCCTTAGAGACAGGGTCTTGCTAAGTTGCTTAGGGCCTTGCTAAATGGCTGAGGCTGGCTTTGAACTCTGGATCCTCCTGCCTGGGCCTCACACTGAGCTCCTCTTCAACTATTTAGAAGCCACTTTTGTGTGCTCCATATGCACATGAATAAACTTTGGTGTTTTTTTTTTCCTATTGTCAGTTAATTTTACACCACTTTGCCAGCGAACCTAAGAGGGGACAGATATCCCAGCTCATTATTCTTCCATGGAACAATTTGGAGGTGTGTATTTCGTAACCTCCCACAGGTTCTTCAGTGGAATTGAGCCCACTGCCTCTGGCCATAACCTGCCTGTTACTACAGCCTGCACCATCTGCCTTCCTTTCCCTGCTTCCTCTTACCAGTGTTCCTGGGACCAACTTCCACATCAACTGCTTGCTCTCAATCCTTCTCTCTTTGCTTCGGGGGGAACCCAGCCTAAGATATAAGCTGAGAAAGAGTGATTAGAGGAAAGTGTAAGTCATGTGTAGACACACAGAGGAGACAGGTTGAAGGAGAAAGTGGTCAGCAAGGGAGGAGTCTTGCTATAAGGGCAAAAGCAAGTTTATTTCAGATGTTTGGCAAGTACTGTTCCATTGAGCTATCATCCCCAACCTAATATAGCATACTTCTGTAGATTAAAAATGAATGGGAAAATCCATGCTGGGAATTGAACCCAGGCAGGGACTTACGCATGCCAGCTAGGCAAGCCCTTCACCTCTGAGCCATACCCCTAGCCTTATATGCTACTTTTATAAATATTATTTGAAAAGGAGATGATAAAATAATAATTAGAGGAATACACAAGTATCAGAAGGATTTTATTATAGGCAAGACAAGTACGGTTATATACTAAGTGGAATGGGCTAGCAGGGAGGAAAGTTGAAAACACAGGAAAGAAGGTGGCTAGTCAGCGGGTGATGTCCATAAAGCAGTGACAGAAGGATGGGACCCAGTGGGGGAATTAACCTCAGACAGGAGGAGAAAGACCTTTTCCGTTCAGACAAGAGGAAAGGAAGCAAGGATGCTGGCACATAAAGTTCCTCCCAATAGTTTTTGTTTTGCCTTTGTAAGTATGACACAAGCCCAAGAATGAGTGGGAGGGGTCCCTTGAGACTATAAGGGGTTGGCAAGGCTGACTAGAGATAGGGAGAATGCTGACAGGGAGGGTGGCAGTGGAGGGCCTTGGCGAGGGTGACTGCCACGGCTGTACAGTGCACCCCTCCAGCAGCTCCACTGGTCTCCCTGGAGACACTCCATGGATAGGAGCAAAATTTGACTGATCCTCTTTTAGGTTTTGCCAAGTAGATGAGCAGAAGCTTAAAGGTTCTGGGTGATTAATTGAAATTAATTGGGTATTAATTGAAAGGGGTCATGGGTTGAATGATGGACTCATGGCTAAATAAGGACAGAAATGAAGACAGAAAGGGGCTGAATGTGTGGAGAAGGTAGACGCAGGGGTGGGAGGAGGACTGAAAGGGCAAGCTATGATCACGGATGGAAAACAGAAGTTTAGGATTTCAGAGAGAGCAGTTCTGAGTGATTCTGACTAATGGCAGTGGGGTGATGGATGTGGGCGCCCTGATAGAGCGAGGATGAAGACATAGAGGGTGGAGACCGCTAGGCTGGGGCTGTTGAGTGGATCATTCACAGGAATGTTGAGAGAAGATGGGGAATTGGGAGCAGAGAAGACTGTGAGCCAGAAAAAAATGTGCAGGAGAGAGAGGATGTGCAGGGAGAGGGTGGAGAGGTGAGAGGAAGAGGGAGACCTCCTGCAGAGGCAGCACAGTAGCACACCTCATCCGTGGGCTCTGCAGCTGGCTTCCTTCGCTGTGACACCTTGCACAAGTTATTTGAGCCTCAGCAGAGGTACAGATCCGGGAGCCCCAAATGTGTGGTTTTAGGAGTCAGCTTCCCATTATTGTAACAAATGCTTGAGAAAAATCAACTTAAAAAGAGAAAAGGTTTGATTTAAGGCTCCATTTGGGGGGTTTCAGTCCATGACCAACTGGTCCTATGGCAACACAGTACATCATGGTGGGAGCAGGTGGTGCAGTAAGTTGCTCACCTTGAAGCGACTGAGAAACAGGGTGAACAGGACCAGCATGGGGAACAAGTCCACCAGTGACCTAAAACCTCCCAGTGTGCGTCTCTTAAAAGATTTCCACCACCTCCCAGAAGTGCCACGCTGAGGATCAAACCACTAACACAGGCCTTTGGGGGACATTGCAGACTCAATCTGTAGCATGTACCATACCTGAAGTCTGGGAATCATCTGATTCCTGGGGAAGGCACAGAGGGAAACAAACCATCCTAGTCGACTACAGAGGTATGGAAAAGAGAAGCAGGAGGTTGCGATTGGGGGTGGCATTGTAGGCTTGGAGCTTTAGCATGTAAGCAGGTCCTTGAAAGTTCCCTCCACCGGATTCTGAAGCTCATGCATGCTTAAGCTGACGGCACTTCCAGGCTTACTACTGGAGCACAGGCTCTCATCATTCACTCCAGGGACAACACTGATACTGCTGACATAGATTCATCCCCTCTGCCCTTCATGTTGGAAATGAAACCTGCCTGTTATCCCTCACACTTTTTCAAAGCCACGTCCTGGAACATAGCCCCAGTGGCTCTAACCACACACTTCCCGCTGGGCATTCATTGCCTTTCCTGATAGCTGTCCTTATAGTAGCTACAGGT